ACTAATCTTTTCTTCTGCGATGTTTAATCTACTGTTAATTCCATCTGGTGCATGTTTCATCTCAGGTCTTGTAGTTTTTATCTCTTGAAGTTCAGTTTAGATATTTTATTTTAAAAATCTTCCATATCTCTACTTACTTTTGCATCTATAATTATGGGCGAGACTGGCTTAAAATTTTTTTTTTTTTTTTTGGTTCGGCCATTTTCTGGTTTTAGAATCAAGGACACTCTAGCCACATGAAATGAGAATTTATTTTTATTTTTTTATTTTCTGGACTAATTTGTGCAAGAGTTCTATTTGATATAACTCAGCTGTGGAACCAATTGGCATGGCATTTTTCTTTGTGGAATATTTTAATTACTGATTAATTTTTAAATAGTGTAAAAGATCTTTCAAATTTTTAATTTTGTTGGGCCAATTTTGATATTTTAATTTCCTAGAATTTGTCATTTCCATATAACTTTCATCTGTTTATATAAAGTTTTTTAAAAAATACACTCTTTCATTTGTATAATCACTGCAGTTTCTGTAGCACTGTTTCCCTTCGTATTACTAACACTTACTTTAGGATTTTCTGACTCATTTAAAGATTTTATTTTTCAGGGTTTATTACATTTTTGTTAGACTTCTAAAAACTCCCTTCGGCTTCTGATAATCCTCTCTATCCTGGTTTGTTTTCTATTTTATTATTTCTGATCTTACTTATTTTTTTTCTCGTATTTGTGTCAACTTCTGTTGTTCCCTCCCCCCCCCGCCCCTTTCTTTCTTCCTCTTTGTTACAACTTTTAAGTTTGATAGTTGGCTCTTCAGCTAAGACTTGCTTCTGTTCTAACACTTGGATCAAAGCCTTCTCTCCAAATATTTTACACTAGATGCCACAATGTTTTAATGTTTATTTTTTGTTGTTTAGTTTTTAATGTTTTCTGGTGACCACTCTCCTGCCTCTTTAACCCTTTCAGTTATGCAGATGCACCTTTTCAGGTGTCTGAACCTCTGGGGTTTCTCCTGTTCTTTAAACATTAAACTCCAACACAAATGTATTAGAGGTTGTCATGTGCATCTCTCCAACCTTTTGAAATTTATGGAGTCTTTATTGATGGATCAGTTTGTGCTCAACTTTCATAAAGGTTTTGTCTGCTTGAAAAGAATGGAGTATATTCTTCAACTGTGGTATTCATTATTGTGCAGAGTCATTTATATCAGTTAGATGGAGCTTGTGACTATCTGCCGTCCAGAGTCTCTCTTTCCCAGCTACTGAGAGCGGTTTTGGTACCAAGGCTATTCTAGCTACATAAAATGAGCTGAGGAATTCTTCCTTTTTAAATTTTATCTTCTGGAATAATGTGTGCAAGAGTCAAGTTGTTTGTTTTGTTTTTTAGGTGTCTGGTAAAACTCATGTTAATGAAAATCTCCCATCATGAGTGGGTTATTTCAATGTTGCTTTTCAGCTGTGTCAATTTTTACTTCACATGCATGCACAGTTAAAACAGTGTTGTCCTTACGTAGTGACCACATTACCTTCATTAATGCCTTATCCCTTGAAGGCCTTTGCTTTATTTTGGGGTTTGGGGTGGGGCAGGGATATCTTTTATCCATATTTTGACTTTCAATTGTCTATATTTTAGGTGAGTTGGTAAACAGCATGTCACTAATTTTTTTTAAAAAATCTAGTCTGACCGTATTTCTCTTTTATCTGGGGAGTTTAGTCTGTTGACTTGTATTGTTATAAGTGATCACTTATACTTTGTTCTACCATCTTACTTTATGCTTTTATCTTTCTAACCATTTATATGGTTTATTTTTTTTCTGATTTTCTTGTTCTCTTTTTTATTTTGTTTTTCCCATCTGGCATAATTGTTAAGAGTGTGGGCCCTGAAATCAAATGTCACCCTAGCCTAATTTTATAATTCCCAGGCATGTCTCTATATGTTTACCTCATACATGTAAGTTCAAAAAATACATGGATTGTCTCACATATTTTTAAATATACAAAACATCATAAACATATTATGTATTTATTCTCTTTAAAATTACAGAATGAAGTCTATTACCTTAGAGCAATTTTAGGTTTATAGAAAAATTGGGCAGAAAGTTACCATGTAACTCATTCCTCCAGTTACCCCACTATTAATATCTTGCATTAGTGTAGGGCATTTGTTGCAACTGATGAAGGAATATTGTTACATTATTAACTAAAGTTCATATTTATGGGTTTGACAAACATAATGACATGTATCCACCAGTGCAATATCATACAGAATAGTTTCATTGCCCTAAAAACTTTACCCCACTTATTTGTCCCTGTATACATTCTTCTGAACCTTGATTTTGTTGTTGTGGTTCTTTAACATAATTTTGAGGACAGCTGAGTCCCTTCGGGCTGCTGTAGCAAACTACCGCAGGCTGGGTGGCTTATGAACAACAAACGTTTCTTTCTGACAGCTGTGCAGGCTGGACGTTCAGGCCCGGTTGCCAGCACGGCTGGGTGAGGGCCTCTCTCACAGACAGACTTGCACCCGCACGTGGAGGAGCCAGGGAGCTCTGCGGGGCTCTTGTAGAAGCACTAAGCTACCCTTGAGGGCTCTGCTCTCTTGACCTAACGACCTCCCAGAGACCTACCTCTTCATCCCATCACATTGGGCATTCGGATTTCAACACACAGATTTTCCGGGGAAGCAAGCATTCAGACCATAGCAGAGGGTTGTCTGTTCTCTGATTCATTCATTTTCATTGGCGATTAGTGTTTCCTCTCTATCGACACACCTTAAATTAATTACCTGTTCTGCTGTTGATAGGATGTAAGTTGTTTCCAGGATTTTGCTTTTATAGGCTTTTCTGCCTCAATATATTATAGGTTCTCTGCCCCATATAATCTCTTTGTGAAAATATATAGTGTATTTGCCGGGTGTGCACCTTGAAGTGGAATTAGGGAGTCATGAGATTTTAAAAATTAATCCTTTATACCTTAAAATGGATTCTAACTACCTCTTTAAACAGAATTTCTATATGAACAGATATTCCAAATCTAACATAATTTTTTACTTTCTGTTCCTCTAATGTGCAACGTCCTCTTGCCTCTGAGCTTAGTCAAATCCTAACTCCTCTTTTCTCTAGCTTCCCCACATCCCCACTTTGATGACCCAACTTTTCCTTTACGCCTCAGGCTAGAAGTCACTTCTCTAAGAGACTGTTGACTTGAGCCCACATCTGGACAAAAGCCACTGCCTGGTTATTTTGCAAAAGCCTTTACGTTGGCTGTTTCCCAACTGCCTATAGCTGAATCCCCCAAGGACAGCAAGCACATCAGAGTTCACCCCAGTGTCCCTCCCTGTGTGCAGCAGCGTGCCTACTCGTAACACTGCATGAGTGGGTGAATGTAGGGCACTGGTATTGTATCAGCAGTGGTGGGGACCAGCACCTTACCCACAAATAATGAACCAGGTCATCACAGGCACCATTCTTAAATAGCAGGAGAGTAGTCTTCAAGTGCAGAGGGCCAAAGATAAAACCTCGGGATTTGGTCATGCAGACCAAGGACAGGGCATGTCAGTCATGGCCAAGGGACATGTTCGCAAGGAGATGTTTTCAACTCAGACATTGTGAGCTAGAGCCCGCCTCTGTTGACCAGCCAGGAGATCTTCAGATAATGAACCATGAAATCCTGCTCTGTGGCAGCACCATGCAATAATTTTTCATTTGCCACCAGTCAGCTTCAGGGATCAAGGACAGCAAACACATAAGCCGCTCGTGCATGTTATTTTAAAAGCATATTTTGAAGTTATAAATACGGTACATTGAGTTAATGAGGTATGTTCTTTTTGGCGACAAATATTTACATTGCACATATGCCTCTTGATGTCAAGAGTGTAACTGTTTCATTTTCTTTTTCTCAGGAGGCTGGGATGCAGATGGAAAAGGCCCTAGTGTCTGGGACACATTCACCCATCAGGGAGGAGGGAGAGTTTTCAAGAACCAGACTGGCGATGTAGCTTGTGGCAGCTACACTCTGTGGGAGGAAGATTTGAAATGTGTCAAACAGCTTGGATTGACTCATTACCGCTTCTCTCTTTCCTGGTCACGTCTGTTACCTGATGGGACGACAGGTTTCATCAACCAGAAAGGCAAGTGTTTCTTAAAAATAGAAGGTTGCAGCTTTGATTCAAGGTTATTGCTGCAGCCTGGCATAATTAATCCAGTGTGCTATTCTGCAGTGTAGCTTTGAAATTGCAAGTTTGGGGAGTGATTATGGGATATATTTTTTTGAAATGGGCTTGCATTCGCTTTCTCAGTAATATTCTGATTTCCCTTAACTGCAGATCTTTGTTGGGAGGGGGGAAATAGATGGGCAGGAAGAGGGCCGGAATAAGTGTTTTATTTATATGTGTATAAGGAATTATTTGAGTGTTAACCTGAAGGTGAATTTTGAGAAGTTGTGGAGACATTTTTTTCAGTTGGGTTACACTGAGATGAGTTATGAACAACCCTGGAGAACTTGAGATGATTCTGAGCATTTCAATAGGAGATAATTAACTAGTGCAGAGGTTAGCACCAAGGAATCTGGAGTCCACTTCCAGGGTTAAGTGCCAGCGACGTCACTTCCTATCTGTGCAAGCATCTCTTGGGCATCTCTTAATGGCTCAGTAATGCCTACAAGTAGAAAGGGAGACTATATAGTTCCTATTTCAGAGAGTTGTTGGAGTATTAAGTAAAATAATGTTTGTAGTCTTCGTACTTGCTAATATATCATAAAGTCATCCAATGTTAGCTATTATTTGTGTTTTGCCTTGTAATTCAAAAGATGATGCCCCCTATTTGAAAGACTGTTATTTACAAGGGATTTTACATACATTTTCTAAAAGGTAGGATTATGTCTTTTTACAGAGGTGCACGCCCAAATCCAGATATTTTGTAAAAGGTGGTTCTGGAAGTTAAAGCTAAGGTCTGATGACCTCCTTCCACAGAACAGGGTTGGCACACGGTGAACTGAGGGCCAGATTTGGCCTGCCTCCTGTTCTTGTCCGTGAAGTTGTATTGCAACGCAGTCGTGCCCAGTCACTACAGGTCACCTACGGCTGCTTTCCCCCTGCGATGGCAGAATTGAGTAGCTGGGGTGGAGAGCATTTAGCCCACCACGCCTAAGATATTTACTATCTGGTTCTTTACAGGAGAGTTTTGTGACTCTGCACTACAACATAGTGGCTTCTTAATAAAGAACCTTTATTGCTCCTGTGTGTTGGAAAGGATTTTACACTGTTTCTAGAGTTGGGACCAGGGGAGGCAAGGGAAGTGCCTACGCTGCAAAATGTAAGGAAATATTGTCTCTCAGGGTCTGACAAGTGCAAGACGGGCGCCGGCAGGCACCTGAGCGAAGGCACCTCTTGCCTCAGCAGACTCCCAGCCTCGAGCCTTCACTAGGGGTTCTTTTTGAGTAAGTGATCTGATTCCGTACATCGTAAGAGCAACATCTGATAACAATTTCTAGATAGACTTGTGCACTTGCGATGCTCATTTTCCCTCAAGCTGGGTCTCTGCCTTGTGACATGGAACCACAACTCAGGCTCACATGCCACCTACGGCCTTAGAGTGGCCTCCACCCAACGGGAACAACGCAAGATTAGCAGGTTCATTGCTCGATTCTAAAGACATCAGCCCCATGACTAACTGCTGTTGGTTGAATATCTACCTTCTTGACATCACTGACTGGTTTTATATTTTGATTTTGAACAAAAGCTAATTTGTTGTTCAGTTTTAAAAGGAGCTCCTAATTTTCTACCTTCCTAATCCATCAGCGGTACCCCTCTTCTTTCCGGCACCACCAGACCTCCAAGGTCTAAAAACTAAGAAATATCTTTGAATCTTCTATTTTCTCTACTTTCTATAGCTAATCAGTTGCCAAATACGATCCATTCTACTTATGTCTCTTTATCTCCCCAACTCCCAGCCGCCTTCTCGGCCCCTGCCCTCATTTAAGTGTTTGTCATTCTCATCAAGGACTTTGTGATATACCCTTGACAGCCTATCCACTTTCACTCTCTTGCTTTGTCTTTTAATTCTTTATATGAAATGCTACCACAGCAATTTTCCTAAAGCTTGGCCCAAGTCATTTGGCTTACATCATCTCTGCTAAAAACAAAGCAACCTGAAAAAAAATGTTAGTCACCCCAAGGCTCAAGGCACAGTCTCCACTCCTCACATGTCAGTCTGGGTTCTACGGGACTTCGTCTTAACTCACCTCTGACTCAGGGCAAGTGGAAATTCCCCCAGGCCTATGACCCATGCAATTCCCCGAGCACACAGCCCACCACTTATTAAATATACTTCGTAAGTTTCCACCTTTGTTGGAACTTTCTTAAGCTCTTCCTTTTACCTGGAATGGCCTTTCCTTAACCCCCACCTAGACCTCCTCAACATCTGTCCTCGTGCTGAGGCCTAGCACAGCTGTTCCCTCTTCTTAAAAATCTCCCCCTATTCCAAGACAGAAGAGATTTTGTTTTCCGTTGTCCTAGCACTTTGTAAAACTCTTAGGGTATTTCTCACACTCTTCACTCTTGGTGTTATTATAACCCCCATTAGACTGTGAACACGAGTTGAATTCAATTCAACAAACAGGTATTTAGTGTCTGTGTGTCGGGTTTGCCCGGTACTCGTAATGTAGATCTCAGACAGTCCCTTGAATTCTTATGGTATAATGGGAGATAATTCTGCCTTGTTCACCCATGTGACCTAGTCCAGTGCCTTGCAGGGAGGAATTCAGTAATCATTCCCTGAATTTAGTCGAATTAGGTCAATCACAATCATAAAAATCACTCCTGGGGTGGGAATGGTTGCGTTTTATTGAGCATGTACTAAGAGCAACTCACAGTACCTGCATTGCGCCTCTTTTGTTGATTTAATGCTCCCAATACCCTATGAGTGAGGGGTTCTCTAAACAGACGGTTTCATGAAAACCTGGGTGTAAGTCTGGGCATAAATTGGCTAAGATGACAGGTTTTATTAGGGCTGATTCGACCTAGGTCTGCCTGATGTCAAAAACCTCGTATCTAGTCTTGACCCATGTACAGCCTCACCAAATGACTTGTATTCTTTGTGCTACAGTTGCCCTGTTGTTAAAATGAAGGAGAAAATACTCCGTAACTACTACTCTGTCCACTGTTCTAGTCTGTGGTTGTAGGAGTTTGGAATTTTCACCGAGCTTCTATTTGGTTGGTAAAACACACACACAAAACAATAGAAAAATTAAAGACAGAACAAAAGCATAACCCATCATCTCATAATATAAGTCTATAATTCCTTATCAGAAATTCTAAAATCCGAAAGCCTCTGAATACTGAATCCTTTTTAGCAAGTTGAGTTCTAAAACTAATTGGGCAGCAGAAGCTGACCTAAATTGATGGGAAAGATTTTTATCACCTCAGACTCTTCTGCTTGATGAGATATTTATATATTGTACTGCAGAAATTATAAGGGGTACTGACTCTGATGCCACAAGGGATGTTAAACTTAACATATGGTATTTTCTTTCTAATATCCAAAAATTTTGAACACGTTGACCACCGAGATTTTCAGATAAAGGATGGTGAACCTGTATCCATGGCAATAGGTCAGTCTCTTTAAAACCAACTTAAGGTGTACAGAAGTTCATGGAACACACTGTTGGTCAGTAGTCCAAGAGCAGGAGGCGGGAAAGCCAGAGGGTGGTGGTGGGACTGGATTCACAGGGGCCACCTGAACAGTGTGGGGAAGTCACTCATGCAAATCTCACGTGAGGGCCCCGTGTCCCCAGCACTGAGCTTTTTGTGTTTGCCCGGCTTATGTGAAACCATGGCTGATTAATATCACAGACTTTTCCATGAGCAAGAGGGCACAGGAGGTCCTTCCAGGAGGCGGAATTTCAATAAGCAGCTGCTCGCTCTTGTGTGGTGATCTGTTGAAGCAATTGGAACCGTTTTAACTCAGAAAGGCCATCATTTGTTTTTTCTGTTTAAATATTTTCTCAAAGAGCATGTAAAGGATTAGAAATCCCTTGTCACTGTCCTATCCAAGGAACCTCCCTTTTTTGTGTGTGTTTGACTCCCTATCTCAAAGCTGGATTAGGAGACATTTGGAAACTTATAAGATCCTATGCTGCTAAATTGGAAGAATATTTTACAAAATGGAATTGTTACACAGTCTCTTTCAAATGTCAAGGTTTCAGGGTTTAACAAGATGAGATTGGGCTGGCAACTGAAATCACATATTTCTGTATTTCTCAACTGTTCAAGTGCATTTTCATACCTGCCACCAATGTGAGTGTCAGGTCATTAGGAGGGGACTCAAGTATTGGAAGTAAAAGATAAAGGAATGCTTGGGTAGAATTTCTTGTTCATGTTAAGATTTAAAATATGAGCACAATTAGCAGGAATGTTAACTAAATAAATGAACACCAGAAACTTTTATTAACCTCTTGCTCTGTGTTGGGCAATGTGGCGGCCCCCGCCCCCAGATTGTCTGCCTGCTCTTTCTTAGAAGCTGGGCGTGTTGGCCTTGGTGTCTGAGGCAGAGCACCTCTAATTTAGCAACAGCCTCTGAACTCTGCCACAATCCTGCAAGCTCGCTCTCCCCCTGTGCATTGCTGGAGGGTCAGCGGAGAGCCAGAGCCAGGGGTAGTGTGTGTTCCCAAGGACTGTGTCAGAGTTTTAGAGCAGACACCCCAACCTAGCATTCCTTAAGGTCCTAACTGCCTGTATCCCACCTTCCGGGACAGATGCGGAGCTCTTGTTGGTGCTCAGTGCATCTTTCTTCCTAGACTTTTGAGGCTAATTGTTCTGGAGAAGCAGTAAGGCAGTTGTCTGGTTCCTTTCTTTTACCTTATATTTAATACCGCTGAGATTTATTCATTCCCTCAACAAATATTTATTGAGCATCTACCAAATTTCCAGTACAGTGCCAGTGTCTGGGGGATCCAGAGGTAAAACAGATAAAGTTTTTGCTATCATGGGGTTTATATTCTCTTGCAGTTAAAGGGCAAGTCTTGTGTATAAACAAATGAATAACTTACGTGTGTAGCAATAACACAAAGTTATGTGATGGCAACTCGCCCAAATAGATCCCTTTCAGCACATACATCTTCCACAGTCATGTCACCCCATCACTCTCCCACTCCCCAATCCGATCGGCCAGCCTTCTTCGGAATTCTTCACATTTCCTCTCAGCCTTTAATTGATTATATGTAGGGAGCAATAAACCTTAATTTGAACAAAAGTTATTTAGGAAACTATTCCCGATCATCTGATCACCTTCGTTTTAGAAGTTATTGCCAACATACTGAAAATAACTCTTCTGATGTCTGTTCTTTTCCTTTTTTCTAGGAATTGACTATTACAACAAGATGATTGATGATTTGTTAGCAAATCGGGTTACGCCCATAGTGACGCTCTACCACTTCGATTTGCCTCAGGCCTTAGAAGACCAAGGAGGTTGGTTGTCAGACACCATCATTGAGTCCTTTGATGAATATGCCCGGTTTTGCTTCAAGACTTTGGGGGATCGAGTCAAGCAGTGGATCACCATCAATGAGCCTAATATGTTTGCCCTGCTGACCTATGATCTAGGTGTATTCCCTCCTGGGATATCTCACCTGGGGACTGGAGGCTATCAGGCGGCTCATAATTTGATTAAGGCCCACGCCAGAGCCTGGCACAGCTATGATTCCTTATTCCGAAAAGAGCAGAAGGGTGTGGTGTCCCTAACATTCTTTTGTGGCTGGGTGGAACCAGCAGATCCCAGCTCCATGTCTGACCAGGAAGCTGCGAAAAGAGCCTTGGCTTTTCACTTGGATCTCTTCGCTAAACCCATCTTTATTGATGGCGATTACCCAGAAGTTGTCAAGTCCCAGGTTGCCTCCATGAGTAAAAAGCAAGGCTTCGCATCCTCAAGGCTTCCAGAATTTACGGACGAAGAGAAGAGAGCCATCAGAGGCACAGCTGATTTCTTTGCTGTGCAGTATTATTCCAGTCGCCTAGTCAGGTACCAGGAGAACCTCAAGGGGAAACAGGGTATCCTGCAGGATGTGGAGCTAGAAATGTTCCCAGACCCATCCTGGGTCAGTGTGGACTGGGTCTCTGTGGTGCCATGGGGATTGCGCAAACTACTGAAATACGTCAAGGTAAGTGCACATTTGTTTGAAGATGTGAGGACAGGCCTATGTATATGTGTATAAGAACCTGAAAAAAGAATGATTTTAGGCAACAGCATATACATTTATTGGCCTGGGAAGAGAGGATTAGGAAGTAAGTTGGGGACAAAGGGCTTCAAAGCCATGGTCAAAGTCAGGACTCCCTGTTAAAGGCAGCTGGTGGCCATAGGAATAGCTTGGCTATTGTTTTCAGCCCGGTGTTGTGACTGTAATTATTAAAAGGCACTCTAAGGGCTGAAAGACCTGGGTCCTTTTTGGGTCTCTGTTATGTTGGATGGTGTCCAGGTGGCTGAAATCAAAATGTCAAGTTATCAGTTGTGAGAACCCCTTCTGTGGGGGGCTAGGGAGTGTAGCTGCTGGTGGGACAAAAGGGTTGAGGAGCAGTGACAATCAGCAGATGCTGATGGAAGAAAGATATTTCTGTCTTCCCATTATAACAGGAGTCATTTGACTGTCTTCATGCACATTTGCACAGTTTTGCTTTTCCATTGTTAGTCATAAAAGATCAGTGCGTGGAAAATTAAGTTAATAGGGTCAGTGCAATTTGCTGAAAACTAGTTTGGGGCTGTAGCTGAGAGAAGATAGAGGATAATGCACCTGATTTTATGAGCCTTTTTTTTTTCCTACATCTGTTTGGAATAAAACTTCTGCTCTCTTGTTCCAGGATACGTATAATAACCCTGTAATTTACATCACCGAGAATGGGTTTCCCCAGGGTGACCCCACATCTCTTGATGACACTCAACGCTGGGAGTATTTCAGGCAGACATTTCAGGAACTGTTCAAAGGTACCATTTGAAATGATGAAAGATCAATTGTGCAAACTTATGTGCCTATTTGCATTCAGCAAAGACCGATGATTTTGAAAGCTGAAATTCATGTAAATCAGTGTAAAGCCATGTAATTAAGAGAAAAGAGAAAAAGTATTTAGGAAAGAGTAGGGTAAGGATTTTGGCCTAGCTTCAACCACCTAAAATTTAATCAAGTAAAAAGCGACTGTCTTCAGCATTTTGTGACTCCTGGGTGAAGGTGACATGAACAGGAGGAGTGGTGGTGGCAGTTGGGAAAGAACCTTAGTTATTACAGAAAGATTAGCACTGACCAACCACAGCATGCTTATTTGCATATTTTAATATCCTGCCTACCAAGACATGAATTGATAGAATTTTTAAAGGACAAAAATTAAGATTTGTGTAATAAATTTTAAAGTGGCATGAGCCTTCAATCAACACATGTTTCATTTAAGCTGGAACCAAGTCGCCCGGTTGGGAACTTGTTGTTGATGTTGTCCTATAGATTTTGTGAAATTTGTTTCAAGACAATATTACTGTTCTGGCTGGTAATGTCTTTCTCTTATGGAATTCTTTTCCTATTGAAAGCAAATGTGGAAGGAGGAATCTTTAACTGGTAACACACATTTCTAAACTAGGGAGTCCCACCCCCCGCTTTTAGCAACCACTTGGAACACTATTGCTTTATACGTTTGGTTTCCTCCCTATAGAGGCATCATATTGTAGAAACAAAATCCAGTGCAGAATGAGACTCTCAGTGTCTTTGTTTTTTACCACGGTAAGTGCACTTTTCCCTCTTCATTCTGTTTGAAAGGTCCCGAAACTATTCTTTCAAAAATTAATTACTAATATACTGGAATCAACCAGAAGGAATTCTGGAAAGTGATGCGAAATGCTTTCTTCCTAAAACCTAAAATATGTTGACTGGATCCCTCATGTAGGCCTCGAGTGTATTGACAGAGTGCAATTGGATGCTTACAGTTTAATCCAAGCAAAATAATTCCTTTGTCGTACATAGAAAACATAGTCTTCCTCTGGGTGGTAACTCGCATTCTGATAAGGAAGGGAAATCTCTCTTTTCTTCTTCCCACTTTTCCCTGTAAATGGGGCTATTTGCACTTAATCTGTTCATGTTCCCAGCTTCATTCCGAGAGACAAGTGGGCTGGTTACTGCCTGGCAGATTTATGGATGAGGTAGGAACCACAGATGACTTGTCCAAGGCTGTCCTGTGTGCTTTTGCGAAAGAGGGAAAAGCGGGAATTGGCTTTTTTCATTTCCAGCTTGGATCTGTGTTTAGTGCGAAACATATAAGGGCTTTCAGTTGCTCTTTGAAATACTTTTGGGTACTTTATACAGCCCCTGAGATCTTTAATGATAAAATCTCAGCAGTGGACCCCAAACTTAAAACAACTAAAGACCAAAAAGTAATTGAGGGCACGCACGGAAAATGCGAGAAGATTTGGGTTTCTGAGGGACAGGAGGAGAGAACTGGGTGAGGGACAAAATTCTGTTTTTCAACTTGTTGATTTTCTATTTTCTTTAAGTTGATGGAGAAAGTGTTGTGGACTTAAAACATTAATTGCTCACAACGTCTTATTCTCTTCTGATTTTTAACATTAGACGATCTATATTCATTGTAGTGAAGACATAATAGTGTATTTATTTGTCTTTAAAAAAAATCACCTTTCAAAATGGGCAGAAATCTACATATTGACAAAAAACAACAACACCCATACATATGTGTATCTATTCTGAACGGGATATAGTGATAACTATATTTCATATATTGTTGCAGTGGACACCAGTTAGTCCATCTGTGGTGAAACTCTCTTTTCTAGTAACTAATCTTCCTTCTACAAAATCCCCACCTCCCCCTGTCCTCAGCTTACCCACCGGGACAGCCAGGCAAGTGGAAGAAAATACTGCTCTTAGTCAACAGATAATGGATTGGTCTAGGTGTAGGCACGTGTCATGAGTGGGCCCATCCCAGTTCTTCCCTGGGATTTGGAACTTGGACCAATCAGTCTGTTTGACTCTTGGCCTGGGTTGGCGGGGTATGTAACTGGGGGCCACCGGGGGCCGCATCCTGCCGTGTCAGCTTAAGAGCAGTGAGAAGGGCTTCTGCAGGTGACTTGGGAAGTGGTCACAGGAAATGGAGAGAGATTCTGGATGGCGCCGAGGCCTCTCGTTCCAGTGTTTCCTCAGACCCAGCTGTGTGAGTGTTTCTGAGAGACATTCCATGTACTTTTAATTAGGTGCCCTTTCTGCTTCACCTGGCTCTGATTGGGTTTCTATCACTTGGAACAAAATGAGTCTTGATTGAGACCGTCTCATCTCATTTTCAAGAGTCACATGAGGTCGTTGCTCCTATTTTACAGATGAGAAAACTGAGTTTCAAAGAGGCTGAGTCATTTGCTCGTGATCACAAAGTTACTAAGTAATGTCTGCTGGAGCTAGGTAGAATGTGTGTATTATTGTTATTATTATTATTCTTGCTACTGTTTAGGTGTTGATAAGGTCTGTGTGTCCAGGTCTTTCTCACTCAGAGCCCTTGCCTGCCCCACCGCGCAGAACCTCTTCCTCACTGTTGGTAGCCTGGGCTGACGCGGGTTCTTTGAAAGCTTCCTGCCGCCCCCGCAAGAACTGCCAGGTCCTATGACCTTGGACAGAGCTCAGACACCCCTGTCCTGCCTGCCTGTCTACAGTGAGAGGAGTAGAGCTGTACTTACTAATGGAATCCCTGCAATTCCCCTGAGGTAGCGCTGATGATCTTGATTGCAGAGTGCTTTCCTAGTAAAAGCAAGCCATCGGCAATTGCAAATGATAACAGGCCAAGGACGACATTCGTGGGAAGCGCTGCAGGTGAGAACCCGCCAGAGCCCAGGGAGTCAGATGGATGATGGCTTTGTGATTCCTGCGAACAAATCCTTCCCTCCAACATCACGCATATGGACAGGCACATAATGACACTATAGTCAGATCAATGGCATCTGCTTAGAGGTCTTACTGATCTCTTCAGGTATAACCCCGCAGCAGTTAATTGGGGAGTAAAAAGTAAGATAATGTTTCTGTCTCCTTTCGGGGAAAGAAAAAAAAAGAGGAAAATGTCATTTTAGGGGAGGAAAAAGGAAATCAGCTAATATCTTTTTAATCGTAGCATTATTTAAATGCCTTTAAATAGGTTGTGCTTTAATTAATGTAGATGTAGGTAAGAATAAAGCAACCTAGTGAAGACGCTGAAAACTTGAACTAACATAGGACAAGACTTGCACTCCAGCTGAGCTAAATACTCAAAGAGGGACATTTGGCAAATTGCTCAACCTCCCGAGCTCTTACTTAGTTCATCTGTAAAAATGGGATAACACTTTCCCGGGTGTGGGAGCTGTAAAGATTTCATTTAATGAGCTATTGTGGAACTTCCCCCTAGCAACTGCCTGACACATTGTAGGCCCTCAACCAATGGTAATAATTATTATTTTTACAAAATATGTACTCCTAAGAATATAATTATCACCTCAAGTTATTTTTCTTGTTATTTTAAAACTGTCACCCAAGACTTTTTTTAACCCCCCGCCCCAAATCTCTAAGTTATAGCAGACTGTTCCCTCGTGTTGGCTTGTGTCTCCACCATTCTTTCTGAGGAAGCTCTGAATGTGTGTCGCAACATTGACGGTTGAATCCTGTGGAAGAGAGAAAGCAGCAACCACCTCCTTTCATTCATTATTTCCATCAGAGAGGTTGCCAGGTTAAGTGAAAATCAAATAATTGGCAGCAGAAACAGCTGTCAAACAACTGGGCAGCTGGGTGGCTCTGCCACGTGAGTTTCTTTCTGTAGAAGTTCAGGAAGCAGTGATCTTCAGAGAGTTAAACTTTCCTCACATCATATGAATCTTCATTCTCTTCATAAAATGTACGCCAGTCCTTGCTGCTCCAGAGCCAGGAGGAACGTTCAAGTTCATATGTACACACATGCAAGTGGACACTTCACTAATCTGAATGTTGCTGGGGAGGCGAGAAGTGGGGGAAGGTTATTCCCAATGGGCAATACTCCAACTATGACCCGAATCTCCCCAAAGCGGACTCGAGCCTGAGTGCAGCCTGGTCCTCATACCTGCCCCGCATGTGCCTGCCTTTCGCTTGGCACATGATCTCGCCTCAACCTGGAACGCCAGGGCCTTTGCCTTCTGCTTGGCCCAGTCCTGTGGTTTTAGGTACGTGAACTTGCTTCAGGTCAGGCAAGACATGGATTTGGAACCTGGTTCTTCCTCTTAACAAGCTCAATAATTCTGGCAAAATTCTTAACCAGGCAACACTTTGGTCATCTAATCTTTCAACTGGGATAAGAAGAACACCCGTCTTCTAAAGAGTGGTAAACAATGAGGAAGTTAATGCCTATAAAGCCTAAACACTGAGTTGGGCACATAGGTAAAGATTTGGTAAATGATGTTTAAGTTACTGTTCTTTGGAGGGACCCTGTAAACCCTCCCAGAGCTGGGGCTGTGTCATTTTCATAATTATATCTTCAGCCCTGAGCATCATTCCTGTCTTATAGTAGGTGTCCTACCCATTTGTTGAATTTGGTTGTGTCTGCCAGAAAAGAGTTAGTCAATCGATAATGAGAAATAAATGATTAAATGATTGGGAGCTGTATTTTCTTTCCCTAAAGAAATATAGCCCACACAGGAGAAGAAGAAAAAAGCAGCCTTCTGGAAAGTTTGTGAGCGAGCCCAACTTTGCAGTTGAATCCGTGCCTGAGTTAGCACAGCGGTAGATGACTGCAGAGGAGGTTTGTTAATGACCAGCTTTCTGCTCTTAATGACAAAACCCCTCAGCAAGATGTCATCAGAGTTATTGAAGACTTCACTGGAAGTGTTGAAGCTGATGCATGGTAACGGGGTTATAAATCTTGCAGCTTGGGTCTGCCACCACGACGAGCCGCTGAGCACAGACTCCCCCTGCTGTTGTCTGGCAGCGCTCTCCTCCCCTTTCCGCTTCC